ACATTATTCTCTCTATTTTCAGATTTTGTAGTTATTTTATATTAATAAATAATTATATATATATTTTTTCTAATTTAGTTTACATAATTATTCACTAGGTGAGGACAGTGACAAGGGAGCAAGTACGATTGATTCGAGATGCTGTCCACGATGTAAGTCGCTCGAATTAATCGGAAAAAAGAATTAGACATTAATTAGTTTGAATTTGAAGTATTCTTGATATTGACGTACTGTGTGATTCTTCGTATAGGAATCGGAGGTGAATGCGAGGCCGATCCAACCATTACACGACCGTTCGATAGAACTTTATAGACCAAAGGATCGTGAGAACTAATTAAAATCGGCTACGAAATATATATATAAATAGTTACATGCATACAATATGTTCATTGAGATTATTTTGCATTTATTTTTTGCATTTGTTATAAAACTTATCATTCTTATATAAATTATATATATGTTCCATGAATCCCATTTCTGTAAAATTAAATACAAATAAACATTTATCCAAATTAAAATACATTTTCTTCTAAATTATTTCACACCATTCTAGCAAGAATCTTGATGACGTCATCCATTGAAGGCCTACGCAAAGGGTCAACGTCAACACAAGATCCACCTAATACAACCAAACACAAAGCATCTGCAATTGGATAATCATCCTTCAAACAAGGGTCAACAAACCTCCTCAATTAAGTTGGACAAAGCACCCCCCTTCCCCCCACCCCCACCCCCCAATACACCAAGAGAATATTCCCTCATAACGCTCCCATCTACACTCCCCTTCCCCGAAACCAACTCTAGCAAAACCACTCCGAACGAGAAAACATCGACCCTTTCGGAAATGGGCCCCGCCCGATTTCCGAAAACCGCGATTTTCGCCCTCCAATCCGATGTCAAGAAAATATTTTCCGTGCTTACGCTCGAGTCGTGACTATATGAAGGGATCACGGAATAGTGAAGATAGTGTAGTCCATTTGCAATATCGAACGCAATTTTAGTCCTTTTGCGCCAACTAAGAGCGTAATTGGACGATAACAAACATTCCCTTAAGCTCCCGTTTAACGGGAGCTCGTAAACGAGATAAGCCGATGAGAAATCGTAACAAACTCCTTCGAGCTTCACAATATTGACATGATTAATCTTGGAATGAATATCGATGACTTTCTTTACCTCCTCAAATCTCATCCGTTTGATCATTACATCACAACCGTCGATTTTTCCCTTGTACACATTATCACTAGTTACCGAATCGAAATTTTCGGTCCCACTTTTTAGGTCTTCCACACTATACATACATAGAGAGTACTTCAATTCGGCTCGTAAAACAGGAGACAAGCACGAATTCATAGATAACGGAGTACTCGAAGATCGAAGAACGTTTCGATTCTTGAAATTATTCAATGTCTTTACATACAAAACACAAGCCACTAAAAGAGCGACAACGAGAGAAAAAACGACAACGGATCCTACGATATATATCTTCTTAATTCGAGCTATTTTTCGGGTATTTTTCTCGAAAGGGTTTGTGGGAAGAAACGTAGGTATAGGAGGGTCGACAGAATCAAGAAAGTCGAGATTCAAGAACGGCTCATTTTTCAACGGTACTAAAATGGTTGTGTTTGGATACACGGTTGGCGTGGGGTCCATATGATTAGCCTCCCATATTTCCTCAACCGAAACATTGAATTTCTCGCCGACTTTTCTCGTGTCGTCCCTTTCAACAAAAGGGTACGTCACGAGATATTCGACGCCGTTTTTAACGTCGTCGTCATTCGGACAAGCGCACTTTAAAGGCACGACAATAACGGAAGCAGAAAAAACATTTACCTCGTACAGCGTAATAGATTTCACCAAACCCTCGAAAACATCACAAGAAACCGTCGTAAGTGTCGTGTTTTCTCTTTCGGACACTTCATACGTAAAATTAGCGTGAGAGAAGTTTCTCATACTGCATGAGCATTGGATCGGTACGACGATTTCGTGGCCCGGTCGGAGGAGTTGAGTTGGAAAGGACACGTGTCGGTTGATGGTGAGTAGGGTTTGCGGATCGACGGCGAAGAGGCTCGAGATGGATAAGATTGTTCGGAAGCGATGATTGGACCGGTAAACGAAGAACGTGCGGCACGTGTTTCTTGATGAGTTCTTGCCGCACGTGTACCTCGTGCCTGGATTGTTCGTGTCGGAATCGCATGATGTTCGGTCGTAGTATTGGAAGCCATTACTGCAGCTCAGATGCAATCCAATACACACACATGTGATTAGGAAAAACAACCATGGAGAAGAAGACACACACATTATAGTGTGTGAGAGAGAAAAATTGCATGCAAGAAAGAGTTAGTTGTGGTTGTTAAGATGAAAGAAATGAATAATTAGTTGAAGTAAAATGCCAGCAGTTTGATGGTGATGAGTGGATTAATTAATCATGTTTAAGGGAGGATTAGGGACGAAGTTACAATTGTCATGATATTTGAGGGATAATTAATCAATTGCCGGCTGATTAGGATGTAAATTAAAAGAGTGTTTTTGGAATGTTTCCTCTTGTTATCTTGTGTAATTGTTTTGACTTTTGACCACCATGAATCAATCATGAATTAAAAAAATATTTATTTATTTATATATAAAATTATTGAGCCACGTACACCGATGTGCTTATTAACTATTATTTGGGCTATTAAATAAGACACGATCCAATTAAGTTAATGGATCAATTTCATTAATGTAACAACGTAAGTTACATTATTGGTAAGTCTATTTATAGTTGGACTATAATAAGGATTTCTGGAGGAACACCGGAAAAGATGAACTAGACGAAGAGAAAATAATAGTTGAGTATTTTGGAAGAAAGTATTTTTATTGACAATAAAATCGTGACCCTAATAGGGTTTTATATAAGAGAATTGTATACAACTATTTTCCTAATTTAAGATCTCTTTATTCGTCCGAGATTTATACAGATTGATTAATCGTTAATCCTAATTTACATACTTTCCTTATTTATTTATGCAGGTTATAGTAAACCTTCTTATCAGTTGTCTCCTAGATCACCACCTACCACTATTTTTCTTACGTGATCTATTGTGTTGACGGACTTATATATACACGAACTGTATGTTCGTCAATCTTCTTACGGCTAAGTTTTCTCTTAGCATCAGTCCGATTGATCTTGGTGATAACCATTCATTCGGGTTTTGGCCCATTAACTTTAAGTATGGAGAGTTCGGCCCAATAATACCAGGAAACATTTTCCTTTTCTTGAGCCCAAAGTTTTGAAGATTCTTTTTATAACACACATACATATAATTGGTGGTTGAACAATCAGAATCATTAATGCCTTTTCAAATAAAGATAAATTGATACGTGACCAAGAAAATGTCGGATTTACTTTCTATA